GGCCACTCTGGGTCTTTCTTTCCTTCCCACTAAAAAAATACTCAGTTTTATCGAACATCTATGCATAGGCACTATCCAGAGAACTCTATATGTATTAACTAACATTACCCTTACCATAAATTTATGTCTAATTATTTACACTTTCAGGTAAGGAAATTAAGGTGTGGGGACATTAAATGGCTGCTCAAGGCCATAAAGCTAGTATATAGCAGGTGGAACCAGCTCATTCTGGCTAGAGAGTTGACTCCCCTCCACCTTTTTTGAGGCAAGGTTTTGCCTTATAGCTTAAGTTAGCCTTGAACTCTCAGTGATTCTCCTGCCTCAGTCTCCTGAGTGCTGGGATTATAACTGTGAGCCACTACACCTGACCTGGGAGTCCAACTCTTTATCATTACATAGTATGATCTGCTCACGCATGGACATCAGATTAGACAGTGCATTGTTTGTCTCTAATTCAACAGTTAGTATAATTTACTCTAGGAAGATGGTCACAGCTTTAAATGGGATAGTGGAGACACAACAAATGCGTGACAACTGGAAAAATGAACCAAACTGAATACATCTTGATATTTATCCATGGCTTGTCCTTTCCTACCTTGGGGACTTTTTGTTGTCTTTTGTTTTCAATCTAGTTTACTGAGGTAAGATTTATACAGGAGAAAGTACACACATTCAAGTTCTGCATTTTGACAAATGTGTATGTTTTTGTAACTACCATTACAATCACCACAAAAAGTCCTCTGACACCCCACTTTCACTCCTGCCCCACTCCACACATCAAGGATACCTCTGTCCTGCTTTCTCTCACCACAGTTGGAACATTACAGGAACATGACCAGGCAACATGTACTCATTTTATTAGTCTGGATTCTTTTACTTGGTATGGTGTTTTTTGTGATTATCTATGTTGTCTGTATTTGCCTTTGTATCTGATATTTCCTTCAAAGGATAGCTCCTGTTCTGTATCTACAAATACTATATTTTTTTCTATATATGCTTTAAGACTCATCACACATGATACTTAAAATTTTTTTCTTACTTAAAATCCTAACTTAAATGGAATTATAGTTTTTCATCCTTATAACAGATATATAACTAAAATCATATGAGTATGAAATATATTCTAGTCAAAAATTGCTCTTTACTGTGTCCTATATCTAAGACATACTTTTAAGCATCTTTAGTATTTCTTTTGTCATATTGACTTATAGGACCGTATTTGAGCGCTTTTTCTGCACAATATCTTGCCTCAAATAACATACAGACATGGAAGCATTTCACCTGTACAAGCAGTAGTAGGCTTTAACTTTAGTAGTAGGCTTTAACTTGTCATCACTGACCATAAAAGTAATAATTTAGATATTTCCTTTAGAGAGAATATCCTACTGATTTTAGAATTATAAAAGAAGGAATGGGTAGATCCATTAATAAATATAAAATTTTACTTGAGATTCAATACAATATGTTTTTGCATGATCTATTTCATTTGAGGAGTAACGTGAGGAAAAAGAAAGAATAAATGAAGGGGAAGAGAAATAAAACAAAGAAACTGACAAGTTCACAAAGAAAATTAACCACTGAGAAGTATGTATCTATCAGAAGGGCAAAGACAGATGACAAGCACATGTTGGAAGGTCACATCTTTGTCGAAATGATGATATTCCCATCTTGTGGCCTTTTAGGGTATTTCCTCTAGAGAATTTTAAAGTTGAGGTGTATGTACTATAAGCATACATGGGAACCACCTATTAGTACACTCTAAGTGTCAACTGGGAGTCACTTTAAGCATCAGTTAAACTTAGCCAAAGATAAGAGACTAGATCTCTTCTGTTGCTGGTTAGGACTTGCCATCAATTGAAGATCAGAAGCTTACACAAAAAATAGCAGAAATGAAGAATGAAGAATAATCACAAAAACATGTTATGAGTATGATTTGAAAAGATTTTCAAGAGAAAATGAATTTTAAGAAAGATTTAATGGTTCCTGGACGAGGCAAGTGGAGCTGTCAGTGGTGGTCCCAGGTGTCAGTGGTGGTCCCAGGGACACAGCCTCAGCACAGAGGCTGAGCTGAAAAGTGATACTGTGCCGAAAACCAGTAAGGAATTTTTGGGGAGAAGCCAGGTAGGTTGGCTTATAAGAGAACAGAGAAGGTGGGCAGAGGAACACAGATTGAATAGGATTAGATTGAATTAGATTAAATAGGTTTCCATGTAGGTCTTAATAATGACATGGAATGCTAGCTTCTCCATGTCCTCATAAACAGAGACACAGCCAAGCTCCTGAAGTCTGAAACACCTATCTAACTTGGGTTCCCAAGGCTTAATGGATACCTTAGGGTATTTCCTAAGCACATAGGACACTGTAGAAAATAACCAGTTGTTATCCCTCCCTAGAGCTCTGTCTTGGTTAGTTTTTTCTCATTGCTGAGACAGAATACCTGATGCCTAAAGTGGAGCATGTAAAGGCTTGCTTATCTTACAATTTTTGGAGGTTTCAGTCTATACTCAGCTGGCTCCAGGCAGGTTGGTGTGGCACAGGGCAACTGCTCATAGCGTCTGCAAACAGCAAAAGAGAGAGCAGCATGCCTCCTTCCCTCCCTTATATTGTATGCAGGTGCAGTGCTCACACTACTAATCTCAGTGCTAGACAATGAGCCAATCACAAATGCTAGATTCAGCTGCCTCCATAATTGCATGAGGCTTGGGGAAGTCATATGAACACAAACCATAACAAGTTTCTTGATCTCAGTTTCTTATTTTTCTGTTTTCCCTGGACAAGCTGTGCCAGGACATGTATTTATCTGGACAAGGGTCATGGGAGGTATCTGTGGACATTTTAATTTTTGGTTGCTTTGTTCCTACTTTTTCCTCCTGTGGTAGCAGTGCCCTAATTTCCTTTCTGAGACCAACTCCTCTACCCTCTCTTTTGGTGCTGTGAAAGGACTTCTTGGCATCAGCATTGGATTCACGATCCAGACTGGTCAATCAACATGATGTCTGGGGTTTTACCAGAGGTCCTAAGAAAGAAAGACATCCTGGCAGCAAGAGTGTTATGAGTTTTAAGCTGGTTCAGAGGCTGAAAATAGCTAATCCTGGGCAATAAGGAAGAGAGAGAAGGAGATGAAAGTATTTTACAGTACCCAAAATACTTCTGCAAATTTTGACAACAGGAACCACTACATTCCCACTTTTTTAATTCTTCTGTTCAAGTAAATTTGGTTTGAGTTTTCTTATTACAGCTAAAAGACCCAATCTTCACTATACCCTCCTCCTACCCTCCAACATCTGCTAGACAATCCGAATCATACTTTTGTATGGAGAAAAGTTACTGAAGAGCCAGGTTTTCCACCAGAAGCCTCTTTTGCCTTCAACCCACTACGCTTGTAGGCTTTTCAATATAAAAGTGAAGAGGGGAAAGACATTAGTATTTACTACCCAAAGACTCCTTCTACTTAAAATCCTACATCTTAGCATCATGGCTCCTTAATCTTTGGCCTTTGTTTGAGCTCCTCTATCTCCCGGGATAGGAATTCAGTGTGAAGGCGTAAGATTTGAGTGCCCCACTGAAGTTAGAAATTTGAGGCAATTTGGGTGAGACTTTCTTATATAAGAAAGACTGTGAGCTTGCACATCTGTGACAACGACTCCTTATTCTGTTATGAAAATCTCCAAACTCATGGGCCATACAAGGTGTATAGTCTTTGTTTTTTGAAATCGTTCCTAAGGATCTGTGATGGTTGGGCTCTGTATACAAAGTTACTGCTTTTTGCTTAGCTGATTGATTTATTAGGAGCATACTAAAATATTATGATAATCACACATCTGTTTAGAGCTTGAAAGTTTACAAATTGCTTTTATATTTGTCATCTCATGCTATTTTCCACCAAGGATGGACAGTAAGCCAGGCGTTATTAGGTCCTTTTAAAGAGAAAGAAATTGACTTCAAGTGGTGGCCCCAAATCACATGCATCAGAATGGGGTGCTGCAGAGGAAGCTAGGGGCTGGGTCATTTTCAAATTCAAGGAGCCACCACCTTACTATTGTGTATTCTTTCTGATAGAAGAATCTGGAGCTGAGAAAAACATACAAGGAGTGTAAACCACAGTCTGATTGACAAAACTGGGCCATATATGCAAGACGGGAATAGCAATCAAGGATACAAGTCAGAGTAGATTATTTTCTTCAGAAGTTTTACCAAGTGAAAACCATTATGGTGTCCCTCCTATGTATAACTGAAAATTGCACTATAAAATGAGCATAGGACCTTCACTTAAGTTCTGATTCTATTAGTCCTTCCTTCCTTCCTTCTTTTTTTCCTTTCTTTATTGTGGAGACAAGCTCTTGTCATATAGTTAAGGCCAAAGGCCAACCTTGAACTCACTATGTAGTTTATGATGGCCATAACCTTGTGGTAATCCTCTTGCCTCAGCCTCCTGAGTAATGGAATTATAGGCATGCACCACCACACCCAGCTTCAGTGCTCCTCTTAAACTATTCAATACCGAATTCCTGAAGAAATGTTTGTTTTCTGCATCTTGATATGCTTGTGTGCTTAGTTTTTGTTTAGTTGGTTGGTTGAGTGGCTTAGCACAGCTTTGAGAAACAAAGGAAGATGTACTATGTGAACACAGAGCAGTTTTCCACTGAATGAATTAAATATTTGACAAATACTGGTTACTCATGAGTGATCACTATCATGAATTGAAGCATTAGAAAAACACTCTACCCAGCACTGTATCTGTTCCAGACTTGAAAATGCTTAAGAGCAATACTTTAGGACCACTAGATTAATAAACAGTTGAGTCTAATCGTTAATTAAAGTAATCACCATCAATTTGGCAGAAGTCAGTTGCTTAGACATTTGAAGAAATCCCTTGTGTGCACAGATACATTTAGTGGCCTCATTTAGATACTACTCTTCTCAAGTAACCACTATGTCTTGCCTGAACCTACCACTTCTGCCTCATTATGCAGCGAACTACTACCTACTTGTGGACTTACCTGCCACGCTTCCACCTTCTTGATGTCTGCACAGGAGCCGTTGGTGAAGAGCCCTCTCCCAGGTAAGCAGGTATATATGTCCTGCAGGGCATGGGCAATGGAGTAGACAGCTAAGTACACATTGTAGGATATCCGTAGATGTGTATAATCCATGTAAGGAGTCTCAACACTGCTGATGTTCTCCTTCCCTGTACAGAGGGGTCGGAAGGCGGTGGAACTGTTGCTTAATTTGGTGCCACCTTCCTCGTGACCTTTCAGGAAGGTGTCCATGGGTAAAGGTCCTTTAGCACCTTCTTGGAGGTGGCAGTTAAATGTTTCTTCCCAAAACTCCTTGGCAAAACCATTGTGGGCAGACTTCCTGGGATGAACTTTCTGCAGAAATTCCCGGAATCCTGGAATCTGCCCAGCCCTGAGAGCAAACCCAATGGTGCCACCCACAACATGGAAATACTCAGGCATGGCGATCAGGGAGGAGCTGGCCCACGCTTCACTGGCCAGCCAGATCTTGCCTGTGATGTTGCGCCGGACAATCTCTTTGATGAGGGGTTCTAGGTCTGGGCCACTAGAGAAGACGACAATGACCTTGGCTGTGGAATTCTGGATCACTTCCACCACGTGCTGGATCTCCTCCTCATCAGAGTACTGGGAGATGAGTTCGCTGAAGTCGATGCAGATGTCACGCTCCTCCGCTTCCTCTCGGAACTTCTCGATACCTGGCCGGCCATAGTCATCATCAGCTGCAATCGTGCCTACCCAGTTCCAGCGGAAATACTCGATAATGTCCGCCATGGCTGTGGCTTGGTGTTCATCATTGGGGATGGTACGGAGGAAGGATTTGAACTGATTCTTGTTACTGAGGAGTCTGCTAGAGGAAGCGTAACTGACCTGAGAAAAAAATCAAGAACACATAATGAATGAATGAATGAATGAATGAATGAATGAATGAGGGAGGCAGGGAGGGAGGGAAGGAGGTCTTGGCTGAGCCTCCAAGTTTTTTTAGATGTTGTTTTTTGTTCATAATGTTGTTCATTGTGGACAGAATATAAGGATGAGAAAAGCCAGAATCTGTTTCATCCCAGCATGAACAGCCAACCGCCTGTAAGTTTATGGAGGTGCTCCTAGTCTCCCAAGGGGTGATGCTTCAAAACTGGATCTGGTGGTACAGTTGGCCCAGGAAGAGTGGGATGTACTTATCCCCTCAGGGGCAGACTTTATGCACCTTTTCATGTGTCTTCTAACCTTCTCTGTGTTGCCTCACTGGTTATAACATATCCATGTGCCCAATTTCTGCCTGCCAGGCTCTGCTCTGATCTGGATATTACAGTTTACCCTTATTGTGATGAACGCTTTGTCCATGAACCACCTTTGATCAGGTTTCCTATGGGTTATGAACTTAGGGCTCTTCAGAAAAACTTCAAGGCTTCCCTTTTCCTGGTTGGCTCAGTTTCCCTCTTCTTGTCATCCTTTAGGATGTCCCCTTTCCCCATACTTCAGGTAAAAGTAATCTCAGTTACAGTCATTTCTGAAAATGATTTCTCTCCATTAGTCTCCTTAGGCTCATTAGGCTCAATTCCCTAATACCACAACTATGAACATCACTCAGTATAGTTAGAAAACAATCTTTCCTCCCAGAATCCTTTGTGATTCAGCCACCATTTTGAGCAAATTTCTTTGTTCAACTATCTGTGATGACTGAGTCTACTTGATAAGCAGCTCCCCCAAACCTTGCAGAGGCTGAAAAATAATCCTGGAGAAGCTGCACTGATATTTTCCCACTGCATAGGAGACAGGAAGTTCTATCTCTGCACATGGGTGTGCATCAACAAGGAGGAAAAGCTGTGCTTTTGATGTTAAGACAGCATTGCCTGAAGAAGTGACCACATCCTACGGGCACGTGCAGGGCTCCCAACATTTTTCCTTATCATGGCTCCGAGGATGGGATAAATGGAGGATGCTGGTTATCTCTGATGGATGTGTGCTGATCCCACTTGGCCATCTCAGAGCTTGAGGATCAGCACCTTTGAGAAGGTGTTGGTTGGTGCACAGGCAGTGCTATGCTCACCATGGCTCACTGGTTAGGGAGTTCCAGTTATTGGACCATGGATTCTGAAGAACAAAATATTTTTACTCTTCAAGAAATTTCTTCTAGGAAACAAAGTAGTGTTTTCTACCTCTTATTCTTTAGTTTTCTAGAGAGTTTTAAAACTTAAGAACACAAGTTGAAGACACTTGCTGGGGGGGATCTTTTTTTAATAATTCTTGCCCAGTGAAACAATTAGTTTTCTATGTTTAATGCTTTTAAATAAAAATTGCCAATGCAATTTTTTTCTGTTGACATTGAAAGCATAAAAAGGATTGATTTGTGAAAGAACTGAACCAAATTTACTAAAGGCTAAACTTTATTTTTCTGACAAGATCTTTGATTTCAGGAGATATAATCGGAAATTGACATTTTCCCTTTTATCAGAGTAAGCCCTTTTTGCTGTACTACATGAGTTCATCAGGTGGGTGGTTGAATTAAGCAATTTGTTTAGATGTTATTAGTTTTTGAAAGCTCTGTTTGCAAACTCAAATAATAAGCTTCTAAATCAGATTTTTGCAAACACAAGGCTTACTATTTTGTAGGCAGAATCACAGCTCTGTTACGCTTAGGTCCATCCATGATTACTTGCTTCTTGGTTTTCATTTGAAAACTGGACCAAAAGGGCTTTAAAGGGATAAAAATTAAAAGTACAAATGCTTCTCATGAATATATTCTCTTGAAGAATGTATTTATAATATTTGACCAGTTTTCAAACGGGAACCTATAAAGTGGGAGAAATACTTTTTGCCTTCATTCCCAAAGAAGTCTTAAAAACACACAAGATTTTTCTTGTAAGAGAAAAGAATTTCATAAATGATTCAGAAAACGAGTCTAACCATGGTTTGTTTTAGCTGGTCTGCTTTGTCTATCCACTTGGTGGCGTGACTGGCATAGGATACATCACTGGACAACTGATCCCTCCCTGCAGAGGGCTTCCCACCCTGCTACACAAGAGAATCCACCAGAGAGCTTGGAAGACTCCAGAGCCAGACTGTGTCTCAGCCCAATTAAACCATGACCTCCAGAAGTGGGAGCTGGGCATGAGTATTTTATAAGGCAAAAGATTTACACCATCTGAAATGAAACCAGAGTAGGTCATAAGTATTTTAAAAACTCCCCACTGACTCCAACTGTATGCCACGGCAGAGAACCTACCCTGTAGGCAAACTAACATAAGTTCAGTAATCACTACTGTGTGCTCAGTGCTTCTATAATTCAAATTCAACTTCACCTTATCTTTCATTTAAACCTTGCAGAAGGAATACTTTCTCTTTCAGATTCTTTCTGAACTTGACTGCAGTTACCTGTTATGCTTGTTGGCCGAGGGGTACCAACTTATTTTAGCTGTGCATTTAAAATAATTTTGTTTAATATGCTAAATTTAAATATGCCCAACACGTTTACTAATACAGGCTTTGTCAAATCAGTCTGCCATAAACGGTACAAAGCCAGGGCTTTCCCACGGGGAACACCTTTAATTTTCTGAAGTATCAGTAAATGATGAAAAGGCTTTTTCTATTGTCACATGCATCTATAAAGATAGTAACAATCACCAAGAGTCTTCCTTACTGAAATCTGAGTTTGTTAAAGATACTCTTAAAATGCAAATGTTGAATATGAAGTATATTCATATGAAACATTGAAAAAAAATTTAAAGGATAATTTATAATTTAAAAATTGATATGAAAGTTGAATCACAATTGGGCTAATTCTCCTATCTATGGACATTTAGGTTGTTTCCAAATTTTTACTACCATAAAATGATGTCACAGAGCCATAGATATTAAATGGAAAAAAGGTTTGCTTTACAGCATCAAGGGGGAAAATCAGATAATAAAATGGCATTTGGAGTTTTCTATCATTTTTAGGGTATAAAAAGGCAACACTGAATAAATGTTTACCAAAGCACTCGTTTCTGTGAATTGTTAGTGTTTAAAGACGAAACTATCTTCCATGGAGGCTCCGTTCTTGCAGGGTGGTGATCACTTATTCATATATGCTCCATAAATATTTGTCAAATGAATCAGACACATCTTCAGTTCTTGCATATGCAAGACAATGATTAAGTTCTTGTTTTGTGAAAAAATATACTCTATTTATCTCTGAGCTAAACTTTTAACCAGATGGTAAAGAAGTGGATTTTGAGGAAATAGAAACTGTTTTTCCTTTCAAAGTTGGATTTACATTGAGTGGTCTTGTTCCTTCCAGTAAAAGCAAACACAAAGTCATGTACTAAAGGAATGAATAGGCAAGTAAGCAATTGAACACCTGGGAAGAGAGACCACATCCATGGTACAGTTGAAGAATTCTGGGAGGGTAGGTTTAATTGGCACCGCTAAGTCCGAAAGGGCCAGGACACACGGAAGGTCTTGGTGCCAGTGTAAAATCAGAGACACGGGAAATAGCAAGCTTTCCGGACACCACAGGTCCAACCCGCACCCTGTTGGGTCTGCTGTCTCATTCCGCCCTCCGTGGCTGCGTGGGAAGAGTGTTACCTGGGGAATGTAGAAGAGGCCCAGCAGATTAGCCACCGCCGTGGACACGCCGGAGCCAGTTGCTCCCACCACAGCGATAGTGGAGGGGATGTGCTCGGAGCAGTTGCAGAACTCATCCAGGTTCAAAGAATCAATTTTGTTCTGGGCCACAAAACTCAGGGTGGCCTCCAAGGCCTTTGAAACGGTGTTGCAAGTGTCAAATATCCTGTACCCCAGTGTCATGTTAGGGAGAAGAGCGGGGCTGCTGTTGATCTCCTCTATGGCAAATATCATGGCTTGTAACCAGCGGAATCCACGGAAATTATACCTGGAAAACAGAAGCAGAGGGAGATGGAGAGCTGGCTGGTTAACCGTCTTGGGGTGAGGGCTGTGCAGAGCTGGGTTTGACCCATGGCTCTGTCACTCTTTGGTTTCATCTGGGGCTCACTAAGACTCAAGGTCCTCTACTAAATTTGGGATGCCACTTACCTCATTTTTTTAAATTTTAAAATGAAAAAAGAATAAAAGCAATAAATTTTAAAACAAAACAATAGGAGATTAACAATGGTTATTATATTACATATTGTCATCTTCGAAGTAGTTGCTCAGATTATAAGATATAGGCATGAAAAATTGATCAAACAATGAAAGCACAAACTGTTCTTTCGGATGAACTAACAGAGATTAGTAGTATAGTTATCTTGTATTCTTTCTCTCTCCCCACCCAGTCTTTCTTTTCTCCTTTCTCCCATTTCACTTATGAATGTAATCTCAAATTGTATCCATTTACCTATGAAAGCCTTGAGTTTAATCTTATTTATAGCTGAGTAGTACTCCACTGTATAAACATCTTTTTTATCCATTGCACAATTGATGGGCATTTGGGTGGTTTCCAAGAGTTAGCTACTACAAATTGTGCTGCTATAAACATGAGTGAACATGTATCACCAAGGTATGATGTTTTTAATTCTTTTGGGAGAATACCTAGAAGGGGAACAGCTACTTCAAGTGGGACCTCCAATCCTAGATCCTTGATGAATATCTACAAACTGATTTCCACAGTGGTTGTTCCAGTCTACACTCACTTGCCTCTTTAAGGTGACTATGAGGATAATGACATATTAGGTATGTTTCACCAGGGTTCTTCCCAGAATTAGGGAGTAATAATGACAAAGATTATTATTAGTGATTTACAATCTTTAGTAACCAGTAATATTCTTTGATACTAGTAATTCACTGAGTCATTTATTTTTAGCTCCAGTACCAAAGAATTTGCAGTAGTTGATCTGAGCTACTTTAATAAAGGTAACACACACATTTAAAAAATACCAGGGAAAATATAACCAGATTAGGACATCAATATGTGGGAGCCTAAAAATAATCTGATATTTGCAGACAAGACATAAATTTAGATTATGAGATTCCTGGAGGTCAAGGGGGAAATTTTGAGAAACAAGAGGTCTCAGTTTTGTAAGCAAACAAATGAAAGTGTCTAACATGGTGGTTGTTTCTGGGTGGCAGAATGATGAGCTTTAAAACTGTGTGCTTTTAGCTTATTTATACATCATATTTTAAAATGAACATGCAGCATTTTTCAAAGAGGAATACTACTTTAAGGAGGAATCAAGCAAATTAACAAAGACAGTGACACAGTTTTCACACAACCAGTACTTGGATCCAGGCGAGGACTAAATTAATGTGCTGACTCAGCTTACCCAGGTCGCAGGGAGACCCCTCTGCACGCGGAGGGCTCCCTTTGCATTGTGGGTTTCATGACTTGAACAGGCAGGAAGTAAGAAATCTGATCTGTCATCCTCCACTGCATTGTTCAGGTTTCTTTTCTAATTTTAAGTATGACATTTTCCCTTTGTTTCTTTGTGTTTCTTTCATTTACTTGTTTTTTTCTATTTAAAGAATTTTTAAATTAAGTTTATTGGTACATTTTAGATATACAAAAGAATCACATTCATCACAGAGAGTTTGTACCTCTACATGATATATCTTGATTCTTCTTTTCCTCCCATTCCCCTCCCCTCCTTTCAACCCCTCTCCCTTTCCTTATTTACAAAAGCTTTGTTTCCAATTTTCCTTGTTTTCTCCTTTTTATTCTTTTCCCATCCTTCCTTTCTCCCTCTCCCCTACCCACTTCTCCTTCCCACTTGAGCGTTTTCTTTTTATTTCTCAATATCTATTATACATTTTGGTCCTTACTTATACTTGGGATTTCTCACACAAGAGAAACTTCATTATTTACATGTGTCCAATTTATTTCACTTGAGTATGGTCTCAAAAGGAATCCATTGGCTTAGAAATGTCTCAAGTTTATCTTTCTTTATGGATGAGTAGTATTCCAGTGTATCAAAAAAATCTTTTTTCCGTTCATTGGTTAATGGGCATTTGGGCTGTTTCCAAGGGTTAGCATTATAAACTGTGCCTTTACACACATGGGTGTGCATATCTTGTTGTGGTACGTTACTTTTAAATTCTTTTGGGAAGATACCAAGAAGGAGAATAACTGGGTCAAATGGAACCTCTAATTCTAGTTTTTTTCAGGACTCTCCACACTGATTACCACAGTGGCTGCACCAACAGTGAAGAAGGATCCCTTTTCCCCTACAGCCCCACCAGCATTTGTTATTGGTTGATTTCTTTCTTTCTTTCTTTTATTTATTATTTATTTATTTATTTATTTATTTATTTATTTGTGATTCTGGGTATCAAACTCACAACCACGTGCTTGCAAGGCTGGCACTTCTGCTGCTGAGCTAAATTCCCAACCCCAATTGGTTGATTCCTTGATAATAGTCACTCTTTCTGGAGTGAGATGGACTCTCAATGCTATTTTAATTTGCATCTCTCAAATGACCAGTGATGTTGAACATTTTTTCATATATTTATTTGAGAGAAATACATTTTTTAGTTTTCCTTTTCCTTTTTCTTCTTCTTCTCCTTTTTCTTCTTTTTTTGGTACCAGGGACTGAATTCACAACCTTGCACTTACCAGGCAAGCCCTTGAGCTGCTGAGCTAAATCCCTGGCTGTTTTTTGTTCTTTATCTATTCTAGATATTAGAATGTCCCTTTGTCTGAGGAGCATCTGGCAAAATTTTTTGTCCACTCTGTGGGTTGTCTCTTTATTGATAGCTTCTTTTGCTGCACAAAAGTTTTTATAATAATGAGATCTCAGATGCTGATTCTTTGTAGTATTTCTCATTTGATTTGGGTTTTGTTCATACAGATTTTGCCCATGCCTGTCTTCAACAGTTCTACATAGTCTGTCTTCCAGGAGATTTAGTGTTTCTGTTTTAACATTTAGATCTTTGATCCATTTTGATTTTAGTTTAGCATATGATGAGAGACATGAGTCTAGTTTTATTTATCAGTGTGTGGAAAGCCAGTTTTTCCAGCACCATTTATTAAAGACGCTATCTTTATTCTAGTAAAGGTGTTTGACCCCTTTGCAAAGATAAGGTTCTTCTGGCTCCAAATGAATTTTAGGATTATTTTCTCTAATTCTGTGAGGTACTGATCAGGATTGCATTAAATATGTACAATTTGGGGAGTATAGCCATTCTCGCTGTATTTGTTCTTCCTACCCAAGAACAAGGATGTCTTTTCATTTTCTGATGTCTTCTTTGATCTCCTTTTTCAGAGCACTGTAGTTGTCACGTTAAAGGTCTTCTACCTCCCTTGTTAGACTGATTCCTAAGTATTTTTTGGATGCTACTTTGAAAGATGTGGTTCCCCTAATTTCTTTCTCTGTGAGTTTGTTACTTGTGTACAGGAATGCTATTGAGTTTTGAGTGTTGAATCTTGATAATTTTGAATTTGGTCATAATTTCTTTCTTTATGTTTCCTTCTGTCATGGTTTATGTCTGTGTCCCTCAGGCCTCATGAGTTTGCATTGTGCATTTATGATGGTTCATTGTCTAGTGCTTGGATTGATGGTGTTAATGCTACACCCACTTAGGGGTGGAGCCAGGATGTGATGTAATGGCAGAAGAAGGTGTGTCTTGCTCTTTGCTGGTTCCTGCTTGCTGTTTGCAGCCGCCATGAACTGCGGCCCAACCGTGCCCGCCTGCCTTGGAGCCAACTGAGTGTGGACTGAAACCTCCAAAAACTGTAAGAAATAAACCTTTCCTTTCCCAACTTTGGGCTTCAGGTATTTTGTCTCAGCGATGAGTAAAAAGTAACTAAGACACCTTCATTTATTTGCTTGTGTTTCCTTCTTTATGCTTCTTTGTTTCTTCCTTTGTTGCCTTATATTTCCTTCATTTATTTAAGTACTTAGTTTTAACCTGAAAACTAATTAAGTGATACTAAGAAGTTTTCCCTATATAAAGTCACTTCTAAGCTACTTTGCTATCGTTTTTCAATTTACTTAAAAATCATATTATTTCAAGGAAGGTTTCTTGATCTCAGCTCTGTATATACATGGGAAATATATATATATATATATATATATATATATATATATATATCTGTCCAGAAAGGAGTGACATGGAGTATTTGTCCACATGGGTCACATGCAAGATACAGTCAACATAAATTTTGCACTTAGTTTTTCTTCATGCATAAGAAAGTATGCACATGTTATCTAATATACTGGCTCCCACTAGAGCATGAACAGAAATCCAATTTTCCATAATCCTACTTTTATTTTCATTTTGGGGGCATCAGGAAGATCAAGGGAAGTGCTGAATCCCTTCTAGAAGGTGCTAGTCTCAAATAGGAAGTGTTGTTTTCTCTGAGAAACTGGGTCAGGCTTTGGAGGGCAGTCGTGGCTGCTGATGTCCTGATTAAAGAAGTGATACAGTGTCATTTACTTGGAGCACCTTACTGCAAAGGGTGCTCTGCACCTGTATTCCATATTGTAAAAAGGTCATTAGGCGGAGTCAAGTAGAAGACAGCCAGAGCAGCGAGGTATCTGTAAGTCACATCCTGGAGGAATGTGATTGATGAGAAAAATGAGACTATTTGTGTTCGCAGAGACATGACTTACTAGGATGCATTTGCTGTCTTCAGGGGGCTGAAGGGAGAGTGCACTGAGAAGCCACTCTGCGGTCTAGGCTGCCCAACCTATACGAAGTATATTCTGTTTGTGGGAGCTGGTGAGGCTACCAGCAGGTGGGTGGAGATGGAGGTGAGGATTCAGCTTTTTATGAGAACTTTTTAATGGGAACAGTTTCAAAAGGCCACGGCTGCAGCGTGGGGGTGGTAGACGGAGAAAATGAATCAGCCAACACGCAGGTATGTAAGGTTAGGAGGGAATTTACTACTAAAGTTTGCTCTATTCACCTTTTCTGGGTACTCCGGCTCCCATTAAGCCACACTGTTGCCAGGTGCTGCCACCAGGTGGGTAAAAAGTGGTGAACTCTCTACCAAAGGGCTGGGTGTTAGCAGGCTGTGGATTTTTTACTGGGTACCCTTGACATTTTAGCTTTGGAAAAAAAAAAATTCTTTAGGGGAAAAAAAACGGGGAGGGCAAGAAGCTTTATCATGATTTAGGAACCAGTATTTTTGAAAAAAAGAGAACCAAGGCTTAAAAAGCTATTTTGGGTGTGATATAGCTTCCAAATACACAGAAAAGACACTCAGATTCAGCTCCTTGCCTTACCTGATACATTCCACGGACTCTGGCCTTGATTCTAGATCTTGATCTTTGGCTGCTACTCCAAAATGAATAGGAAAGAGCCCACCGAGGATAATGTCTCCTTTCTTCTGGGCTCGCTGGTCAGGCCCATAGGCAGAGGAGTGCCAGGCGAGGACCAAGAGGACCAAACAGCAGCTGTAAAATGCCATGATTCTGCCTTCTCTCCAGGGCAGAGACACAATGGTGACAGTGGTTTGAGGGCCCCAAGAACTTTCTCTCTTGGCGCAGCTCATACCTTGCGGTGGGGAGGCATGTCTACAGAGTGATCACAAACACAACAGAAGCCCTGGTGTTTGCAATTCCGTTTCTGCCTTCTCCATTGCAGACAGGTAGGGTGGGTGGTCCTTGAGTGTTCAGAGGCCACATCCTGTGGAGGCTGTCAGTGATGTTTTCTAAAAGAAAAAAGAGGCAAAATTCACTCGGTGAAATCTATGTCCTATCTTATTATAATGACTGCTGCAGAGGTGCCTCAGAATTTCCACTTAGAGGGGCTTAAAGGGAGCAGATAAAGTCATGACTTAGAGTCACAGTTTTATAGCACTGCATATACGATACGGAACACTTCAGTTGCCCACATCACGGAAGGACTGTGTTCTGTTATGAAAGGCCTTGTTTTGGGGCCTCCACTGATGCTACTTTTGGGGTGTGTTCCATTCATTCTTCTGCATGAATAATGCACAGAATTGGGTTTAGAGGTAGCAGATCCTTTTACTATAATGTTAATGATCTTTTATTATCAACTTATTCTTGTAGAAAATACAGAACAAAGCAACATGTTTAAGTTTAATTCTGACTTGGAACAAAACAAAAAAGTCCAAAAAGACCACTTACTTTTAAATTTTTTATGATCCTGCCCCCTACTTTGTGCAGATTACTGACTCCAATTTATAATGTGACACTCTTAGGAGAATAGTTCTTGTAGTCAGATAAATTATGGCACAGATTTTTTAAAAATAAAGTTTAACCTTTGGGTATATGGAAAACTCTTCTTTATAGCATGACTGACCTCGTAAAAACTCTACCACTTTACTTTGCTTTGATTCTCACCCACCCTGTGGGTTGTTTACCAATGACATACTGATACTAGCTAAATGTGCAGTCTTTCCTGAGGTTTAGGGACCAGCACTGAACCTTCAATTGCTCACCTCCACCTCAAAGTCTCAGGGCGCTTCAATTAACAAACTCTTAAATTCACACCTCCCCTAAAATTGTTCCTTCTTCATTGTTGTCTGTCACAGAAAATTTATGCCATCTACAGGGACACAAAATTAGACATTACTTTTGCTTTCTGTCTCTTCTCATCATTGCACTTTATGGTCTACCATTGTTATGGTTTATACTGAGAATGTTTCCCCAAATCCTCATACATTTATAGGTGTAGGGAAGAGGACCGGCCCATGAAGATGCTAGGGCTGATGTGCTCTTGGGAGGTGGGGCCTGGTCAGGGGAGGCAGGCTGCTGAGAAGGGTACACCAGTGTCTCCCTCTGTGGCTCCTGCTTTCTTTCTTCTTCTTGGAGGCCACGTGTGGGCAGCTTTCCTCTGCCAGATCCTTTGGTCAGATACTTCTTGATTTGGGGTCAGCCAGCTTTGGACTGAATCTTCCAAAAACTTGTGCAAAATAAACCTTTTCTTTAAGTCGTGAGAATTGCATATTGTGTGTTAGCAATTAGAAAATGACTAAAACAATCACGAAGTCCTATAGATTCCTTTTCCTAAATCTCTCTGGCACTCATCTGCTCTTCTCCATTTCCAGAGCCATTGGAAGTCTCTTATCTGGGTTTCTGCCACATTATTTCCTAACTAGTTTTTCCCGTTTCAATTTTGCTTTTTGCAATTTATCTTTGCAAATTTTTGCATCTGGCAGAACAAATGAGTTAGAGCACAGACTCTGGGATTAAACCTAGCTTTGAATCATAATTCTGCTACTTCTCATGTACTCTCATAGTATATGAGATTTTAGGCAGGTCATAATTTCCGAGCTCTTACTAAAATAATGCACGAAGAGTCATTAGCACAACTAGTAAACTCATAGAAAATACAAACCCCTTTCCTGCTTGTCTCTTGCTGGCCTCCAGTGACGCCAGCAGGGGCATGGGCCTCACACACAAGATACCACAGCAGACACTCAGCTTCCATAGAATCGCCCTGGCAATGTTTGAATAGCCATGATCAGCTAGTTTTCAGACTCTAGTCCTACTATTAGACTTTTTACTTTGCTTGGATGCTGGTCATAGGTTTTTCTCTCATTTTAAAAACAGTGCATGTGCTGAGGCCTGGGACTCCACAGGTAACAAACATGGGTTCCCGTTCTTAGGAGCTTTCAGTCCAGCGGGCAAGAACTCTGGTATATAGGATCACAACTGTAGATTCTATGCTCACAAATGGAAAATGAAGTAATAACTTTGTTTCTTTTGACTAAATTCAAATCTGTCTTCTCTCTGGCACTTAGTACAGTGCTTGAAATAGTGAATGACAAATAAATGTTTGTTGAATGGTTGCATAAAAACATACTCCAGAAAGAGAAACTAGCACTTACTGATCAGGTATTGTGCTAGCCCCTTTAAATACCAATGTATTTTAAACTGCTAAACAATTTGGCAAAGAAAGTAATACCAAGTCTACTTTCTACATAATGAACTTAGTTTACCCAAGTAAAAAAGGCTGGTACTTGAGTTAAAAATTAAGGAGGGGAGGAAATTGGGAGGAAAAAAGAGATCCCAAAATATAGTGTGATGAATGTGACCTATATATATATATATATATATATACATATTTAAATTGTACCAATAAACTTAATTAAAAATTCCTAAAGAATTTAAGATTTATTTTAAGGAGTGCTTAGTACTGAATTAGGTAGGAGACGGGACATTATAATTGGCTAGCGTAAGTCACTAAGATCTGTGAAAGTTTCCTTGTGAAAGATTAACTACTTTGGGAAGTTTATGAACTTCATTCACCGGTTCAGAAAATTCGTGACAAGAAGAAAGAGATGGAGAGATTGAGGGACAATTGAGAACAGTTACCTCTGTGAGTCTAAAGTCTTCGCACCCCCTTTTTCATCTAGTTACCAGAGCACAATTTGCTTTCAAAGCTGAAAGTCATTCAAGACCCTCCAGCTCCCCTTCCTTCGGTCCCTGAGCTCTTGGTCCTGTGGTTCTGCACCCTCTGTCCTTCCTTCTCTTTCCTGTTTTTGCCTTCCTCCAGGCTTTGTTGCAACAGCTTTTTTCTTTCCTTCCTAGCTCTTTCTCCCACACCCTAGACACCGACAACCAGGGCAGGACCCAATGCAATCCTAGCACAGTGGTTTAACAGTTGAAGCTCATGATTTGTGGCCTGTGAGGGGAGAGATCCAGGCCTTGCCAGGAGGTGAACCTCACCTGGAAACCAGTGCCAAGAAGGGGGCCACTGCCAGAGTGGGGACAGCCGGACCTAAGCCTCTTGCTGTGAGTCAGTGCCATTTGTGGACTGTGGGGTGAGAGAACCAGGCCTTAGCAGGAAGCAATCTCTGCCTGGAAACCATATCATTTTCATTGCTTTTTGGGATTGGGTTTTATTCTCTTTTGTCTTGTTTGATTATGTTAAATCTGATGGCATAAGCAGCTACTTAAAAGATAGCAAGACATAGTATGGTAGCCATTTTGGATTTACTATTGGCTTGTTTTGAAGTCCTTTCATTGTTTTGGTTTTATTGTTTGTATTCTATTCTGTTCTGTTCGATTTTCACTAGGTCTGAAGGTATCTGCAGGTATTTTGAAGAAAACAAAAGGCATTATGGTAACTATTGTTGATTTTTTAAGGTTTTGAAGTCCTGTATCACTTACCCTGGTTTATTTTGGTTGGTTTTATTGTTTTATTTTCCTTGGTTTTATCCTCTTTAAAAGAAAGAAAGAAACAAACAAACAAACGAACAATTGAAGCTCACCTCTATAACCTCGGCTTGCAATAGTTAGAATAATAAAAGCTCCTGAATCATCACTCACAACACTTTAGTTTTCATATCTATAGTAGAGATCCCCCACCCCCCCCAAAATGGGACTTGAACTGAGTGTCTTTGTACAAAGTTGCATTGCCAGCCCTTTATTTATTTATTCGCCTGTTTACTTTTTCCTTTTTTTGAGACAGTGTCTCACTAAGTCACTAAGATGCCTAGACGGGGCCCAAACTTGCCCTTCTCCTACCTTAACCTCCCAGGCTGCTGAGAATACAGGCATATGTCAGTGTACTTAGCAGATTCCTTACTGGACCTCTTGTATTTGCATTCTTTTATGCCCCAGTAAAATCATTTTTTAGCTGGATAGGTGGCTGTCTAAAATAAATACTGTTTCTCCCAGTTTCCTTTATGATTATGTGTGGTCATGGGACCAAGTTCTGGCCTATGAGATGTAAGCTAACATGTTCTGTGACGGTTTCCAGGAGTCTTATGTAGGAAATCTGGTGCTTTCTGTCCACCCTTCATCAGTCTCAGTTCACTCTGCTGCATGGAGATGGATGTGACAGCTGGGGTTCATCGTGCACCACGAGCTACACTGTAGGAAAGGAAGGTGCTACAAGCTAAGGATTTCAGGGAGTGGAACTAGATTGTTCCTGAACTTTTACATCCGAGAGAAGCGTGCCTCTGGCTTGTTTAAACAACTGTTGTGTATTTTTTCCTACCAAAGTGTCTCAAACAGTACCTGAGTCACAAATGAACTCATTTTTTTACTATATGTTTACTCCATTTAAATTATATCTAATCACATTTGTCTTCCTGCCCAAAAGTATTACACACAAGGCTGATGTTTAATATTTGTTCTTTTTCTCAATGGTCAGATACATCTTAGAAGAAGAAACGATCCGTGGACCAGGTGGCTTTCTGTTTAGAAAGTCCTTGACATTATGAGTAGTGTTTCAGCACTGACATCATACATCATTAAGTTCCTCATGCAAGGCACAGAATGGAAGAGGAGGGCAGACTGGTCCATGGGTTCCACAGACCCAGGAGTTTATAAATTCATATAATTACTTACTCATTAAATTTGTTCTATGTAAAGCACACTAGACAATGCAAGATGCTAGGGGGAAGAGTTGAAATTCTTACCTTCAAGGTGTTCATGGTTTAAAAGGAGAAGAGAAAATACATTATAATTATTGTAATGCAAATGCTGTAAAGAGGTAGAAACTAAGGGAATACAGACGGGGGTGGGGGAGTGATGTCCTTTGGTGATGCCAGGAGAGAAATTCAGTCAAGGTGGGGACTGGCAGCCTCGTGAGGGCTGTCCTGTCCGTCTTCCTCCTATGATAGCCTAACCAAGCACCATGCCTGAAGTTTATCAGATGCTCCCCAAATACCTGTTGAATTAATGAATGAAGTATGATGAGCATAAATCAGAGGATGGTTGGGCAGTTTTACAA